AATACTGGAATGACTTTTCCTTTGAAGACCAAGAGCAGGGCGCATAGCATAGCACTCAACTTCGGATTGGAGTGTTCTTGGACGACCAGAAAGACAGTGAGATTCGCACTAGCGGAATCGTTTTTTCTTCGTTTGTCTGGAACTTTCTCACGCTGTTGTTTTCGCTTTTAGACGGAACAATGAAATAAACCGATATTATAGTTATATTTATTAGCGGCAAAATCATCCTTATCTTCGGAATGAAAATGTTAGAAAATTCTTATCTTCGGAGAAGAGGTATAATGATATAATACAAAATATAATAAACTAAGGCCCGACTCAACATTTGAAAGTGCATTGAAGGGTGAAGTCAACAAACCCGCTAACAATTCGTCGGCGAGGAGACTAATAAGTGTTTGTTCCTGAAAAACATGGGACGCACATTTCAGGGGCACCTATCGGCAATTTTCGGAAAAATATCTGTTCGGAAGACGATTTGAGAGCTAGAATTTTCGGAACATTTGTTGTAAAATTTCTTGCTTGCCTGCTTCTCCTAGGATTTTCGAACATCTAAAATATGGTATAATTGCCTATTTTTAACGGATTTTTACTCTAAAAAGGTCACCTAGAATTTTCGGGAACCTTTTTTCTGGCTGAAATTTTCGAAAAGGTAAGTTTTGATCCCTATAATTTTCGCATCACTAGATTTTCAGCTAGTAAATCCGAACAGATGAAACATTTTTAGGGGATAAAAATATGCTCATATCTACTGTTTAAATACCAAAATACCTTTAACAATGCTATGTTTTAGTGGTTTTGAACTATATTCTCGTCGGGCGCCCCTGACATTTAACATGAAGAAATTATGATTGTAATTTTATTGATCTTTGCCTTGTGAGGGCAGTTTAAATGAGCTGAAGGAGAAACAGAGAGTATATTCATTTATTACAAAGTCAAAGTCAAAGCGTTTTGACTGACTATGAGTTGTAACTTCTGCCTTTTTGGTTCAATGACTAAAGCAGGTCAATCTATTATCATCAATGAAGCCGACAAGCTCAGGCAAACTGCGACTAGTTCTTCTTTTCTTTAATACAGATCAACTGCATCAATTTCTTTTCGCAAAGTTGTCTAAATGTTGATAAAATGTTCGTTAAAAAGGAACCTAGAGTTCTTTTTTAAGTCTGAGGCCCCTGCTAGTTTTCCGCTTTAAGTGACGTCTGCGGAACGAGCTTAGAAATCTCCTTACTGACGAAGTGTCACCACCAAAACATTTGTCACTACCAAGATCTGGGTAATCCTTCTGATTGGTTGAAAATTTGGTTCAATCAATGAAAAAACATTACCAAGATAAATTTAGATTTTTTTTCTCTCGTTGCGAATAAGTCATTTTGCAGAGAAACTAGTAATCGCGTCACTGAATGTCGCCTACACTGTTCTCCCGTACTAGGTCTTTTTCGCATTAGGCGAACACAAATTAATGTAATTTAGAGTGCCAAAATATCAAAAGAAGTGGTGACGATTTGTTGATAATTCCATTTAGTGTATTGAATGTTGTAGTAAAGGATTGTGCTAACCATATTTGACGTTGGAAATAAATCATTGAAATGATTTCCTTGACTGATTTTCAGCTAGAATTTTATTGAATAATTTCAAAAACTCTGAGAATTAATAAACAGTTGTACGTTTTGAGAGAGAAAAAGATGAAAGGTCTCCACCCCACGAATTAATTACTGTACAATTATGTACTTCTGTATGCCAAATTTCGCATTTTAATAATTCGGCATTTCTAGGCTCCACTGTCAGTGGACCGTTTTGATAATTTTCCTGAATAAATGTCATCCCGACTTTAGACTACGACCATACAAATGTAACTCGTGTTCGACACTATTAGCAATAGGTTTTCATGGTTCAGTAAAGAGATGGAAAGAGCGTCTTCAGTAAAGTGTTTGGCAAGTAGGCAACAGATTCTAGGTGACCGTCTCACAATTCTAAGATCTTATGCTAAGGAAATTTGTCTTAAAACAAGACGCCTTCTTGCTTAAAACTTTATTGCTGACAACTTTTTTCCGTTGATACATGGCATCAATTGGGAAAGCCACATTTTCCACCTCTTCATCTTTTGGCCCCAAAAAAGTTCAAGTGATCATCTACTGCAGAGGCTAATTATGGCTTGAAGCCGACTGTGTTAACTAAACCGAAGAAGTAGTCATCCGGAATCTTTTTATTATAATTATTGTTTTATTTCATTTCAGATATTTTTTGTCTTTCATGTTATATCGCGGCTTAAATAGATAATTGTGCAAAAACCAAAATGTAATTTCTACGAGCAAAATTACTGTGCTATCAAACATAAAGGTCATGAGAATATAAGGGGAATGATATTAAATTCATTCTCCTTTCAGTACCATGGTAATGCACGTGCAGTGTTTGGTGCGTGTCTGCATGCTGAATATATGAATTGCCCTGAGGGGCCAATTGACAGTATTTTTTGGCAGTTCTAATCAACATAAAAACAATTTTAATCTATCTGCTCGCTTTGTTGTATCACCCAAGAAAAATTGTATTTTTAATTTATATTAGCGCAAAAGAAAATGAGGGAATAGTTTAACAGGCCTGCTAAGCTAATGAATAAGAAAAATAACAAACAAAAGATAAACCCTGTGTGGTAACTCAAGAAACAGAAAAAAAAAATTTACTGTAATTTCAGTCTGAGCAGAATCGGTCAAAGTCAGCGAATCGACTGTGTACTGCCGTAGCTGAGGTTGTTCACAAAGATGATCTGACCATGCTTTAGGGGCCTGTGACAAATAACTGCTAATTACTTTATAAGGTGCTTATTCGAGTTAAGAGGCCCGTTTCAGTCTATTAGCTTACTTGCTCTTTATATATGTATTTTTGAATCCGTAATGTTTCATTTTGTATGTGCTCACATTGTGGGTGTCTCCTCCTAAAATGCTTTACAATCGGTCTGGGATAAAATGGGGTCGAAACCAGTTGTGGAATCAGTGCACACATTTTAGACATCGTAGTGATGAACAGTTTTACTACGACTTATAGATATTTCGAGCAACAACAATTTCCCGTTTGTTCTCTTTGAATTTTGTTGAACGAGAGATTATTCATGAGATATATACATTTGTCGGTAAACTTAGCCAAGGTTACTGTTAGTTCAAAAGTAGTTAGAGGACAGGAACATGGAGTACGTATACGACTTGGAAACTGATTGAACAAAATCTGGCCGATTAATAGTAATAGCTGTCTCTTAGTCACGCAAATAATACAGAAAAGTTCAGTATCGATTGCTCTTTTCTGAAAGTTATTTATTTATAACAACTTTATTTGCATAAAAGTACATGGTAAAAAGAAGGATCATAGAGTAAAACGGGTTTCAACAGAGAAGAACTGAATCCCCCATCAGCCTTTTAAGAGTCATTCAAGGCTGATCCCCTCCCTAAAGATATAATATTAAATAAAATAGTAAACTGGCTAGAAATTAAAAATTTCCAATTTGCCTGTCCATACAAAAGCTTCTTAAACTTGCTAACATTGTCTGCCCGGCGCAACAATATAATTCAGTAGCGAATTCCGGTTGAATACTACCTAAAATTTGTTCGTGGATAGGGTTTCCATAGCTTGGATCTGTTTTTTGGCAATTTCTTGTGCGTCCGACGGAAAAAGTTACATAATTTTCGAATTGGACAACACAAAAACCCTTGAAATGCTTGAAAAGTTGTACGAGACTTACCAATTTACGACGGGGTTTCAAATCTATCCTACATTAGACTGTCTTTCGTCATAACATATATTAGTACTGTCCTTGCCTATTTTTTTCTGCTGTACACAGGCTGTTTACAAGTACGATAAGAAAGAAAAAAAGAAACCTAAATGAACCGCAAGTTTGTCTGTTAAAACGAATTTTCGGCTTGCACAGTCACGCAATGAAAAATAAAAATGCAAACCATTCAATACAGAAGGACTATAGAATCTGGGAAATGAAAAAAGATAAATATACAAAAACCCTAGCCAAGAATCAGGTCTGTGAAATATTTCAAATGCGAGATATTGGGAAAAACGGTTTACCTAAATTTATAAAGCTTTGTATGGAAACGCCATGTTGGTGTCCTTTTCGGGAACACCAATATGGCCGCCGGATACCAACAGAAACATCTGTTTTCGAGTTTTCCTACTAATGGGTGAATTCTTCGCTTGAGGAACTCATAAAGATTACAGTAATATTTATTCTGAGACAAGGAATGTTTAGATGGCAAAATCTCCCAAAATCGGTAATGTTTTTAACCCACATAAGAGCTTTCCCGGCCGCCAGTTAAATGCCGTGTCACGCAAAAGCCTGGAAATTCAAGCGTCCTCTCTCGCAAAACGAAGAACCCTTTCGAACCAAAAATTTGTTTATGTGAAGATGTTGATGTTTAGGTACTGTAATACCTCGTGCAAGTAGAAACTCAGAAGAATCGATAGTTTCTTAGTTTGATTTTTGATGACGTCACGTGCAACCAAAGAATAGATTCTATGTTGCCGTACAATCACAAAAGACGTCACACGGCACTCACCTGAGGCTCGTATGTCTCTTAATTTTTCTTTTTGTTTTCACCACATTTTGACGTTATCTTTGATCTATTACTTAACAGACGCATGGCAATATGCAACCATTTGTTATTAGCACGAGATTTTTTTACGTGAAGCCAATGGTAGAAAAGTTGGGACTGTCAAAAGTAGATGTGAAAGGTCGTTTTCTCGGAAAACATGCGTCCTTGATCTTTAGCTTTTGGCGATTACAAAGATATTAAAATGTATACATTAGTTGATCAACGCGTCCAAAATAAATACTTCGTTTAGAGACTAAACATTAATTTATGACAGAGATTAGGTAAAGCTCGTTCACAAAGGTTAACTTTTCAAGAATTCACTCCGTCACCTACTACCAAACAACAATTACTCATAACGCACAACAGCTGAACTACGAATGAATTTGCCACAGGAAATAATTATATTGTTCAATGAAAAATTGAAATTCTAATCCTGACTAAAAGGACATTACTTTTCATGGCCACCTCAACGACGTGATGCGAACTGTGTGGAGCGCGTTCATTTTGCTTGTTTTTATGCTTCAGGGTAACGTATATTTAATGTGTATGTATTTATTGATAATTTTGTCGAATGTCGGTGAAAAAGGGTGCTGACTCAAACTCAAATCAAGTTCAAACTACTAAATCTACAGAAAGGAAAGCATACCAACACCTGTTTCAAGACAATAAACGTCTGTAACCGCCATTTTCTTTTTATGACCAAACGTGCGGTCACAAGAAAAAGGAAGCAACAACGAATGCATCCTCTTTGTTATTGTAATACAAGTTAAACGTTTTAATACTAGGATTGAATACAGACTCACACCGCAGATATTTCATGCTCTGAATTCTATTCTAGGCCCAAATAAAATATGCATTGAGTTGGTCGGTTATAAATGTGACGAACGTTTTAATTTGTAAGTTATAACCTCCAATCCGCAATACTATAAACAGTGGTAAAAGTGGAATTTCTTTTAAGAGCCAAATGATCTTTTCTCTTACAAGAATGAGTAAAACTGCCAACATACTATTATTCTTCAATCTTTTCCATATGTTATCTATGTGGAAGCCTAACAGCTTGAAATGTGAGCAATGATAATTTAAATAAATCAGAGAATCTCTGGTTCCTAAAAGTAGAAAACTGGAATGACTCTTCCTTCAAAATACCAAGAAGAGGCATATAGGACGCAACTTATTTCAGACTAGAGAATTCTTGGACGACCAGAAAGACAGATAAAGCATTCACGCGAGCGGAATCGTCTTCTTCGTTTGTCTGGAAATTTCTGTTGCTTCCGCTTTTAGACCGAACAATGGGGAAAAAATGATAAAAGGGAAGATATTACGGCATATACTTTTATTTAGTAGCGGCAAAATCATCCTTATCTCCGGAATAAAAATGCCAGAAAGTTCTTTTTTTCGGAGAAAACACTATAATAAACTAAGCCAACTCTACCTCTTCATTTGAAACTGCATTGGAGGGCGAAGTCTCGCTAACAATTCGTCGACAGGGAGACAGAATAAGTGTTTGTTCTGAAAAAAGCAATTGCATGAGCTGTACATTAGACATGAAGAAATAATGATTACAATTTTGTTGATCCGTGTTGTGCACTTGAGGGCATTTTATATGAACTGAAAGCGAAACGGAGACGAGTATGTATTAGTTATTATCAAATACATAAGAACCGCTAGCAACTGCTAGCTCGAAGTTTGCATATTTAACAGGGCGCCGGATTTTCTCCGCCTTTCTTTTTCTATTTCTAAATTGTTTCATGGCGAGCAGATTAGCCTTAGCTCACCACTGTTCACTTGGAGGAGTGAATAGTACATGAGGAGTCTGAAGAAAATACTGCTCTCTTAATTCCGACAAACATTGGAAAGCATCCCAAATTATCCTATATATAGCTTTCTTGACCGAACAAGCGAGAGGTCATTAAAAAAGCTGTTATTTGCCCAAAATCTCTTTGGGCAAATGAATCTCCTCGTGGATCATCATACTGTGGGACCTCCATATAATCGAAGGGCCAAGGAACTGGCAAAATTTGTGCGCTATAACGAGGTTTCGATATATCGAGGTTATTTTTCACATAATTTACATAATTTTTTTATAATTTCATAATTTTGAGCAGTCAAGAAGGGATCAGCCCACCCGCCCACCCCATTTGTCTACACAAAATTCTCGTGCGTCTTTCAACACTGCTACCTTAAGCCAAGCTGTTCAAGCCTGGCTTAGACCGCTGAGCAATATTATATCCATATCTTATTTAACCAAGCATGAATGAGAGTCTTGTGAAATAGATGACTATTGCAGTAATTATAGGAGTAAAGAAAATCATTCGTTATATCGAGGCTCCACTGTAATTTGTCATATTACTAAGGAACAGCCAGGAATTTTTGAGAAGTACGCACGAGTTTCCAAATCCCCTTGTCGCTCCCTCACCGCACTTTTCAGTGCCAAATCTTTTTTCAGTAAAGGAGGAGAGGTTAAGTTGTAAGTCAAAGGACCTCAAAGCTTTTCGACTGACCATCAGTTGTAAAATTTCGCCCTTTTGGGTTTATTGACTGAAGCAGGTCAATTGATTATCACTAATAAAGCCGACAGGTAGGGGAAAACTATGATTTTTCAAGTACAAAAAAACCTGTCATATATAGATAAAGGGGTATAAAGGTATTTATGTTTTAGTAGCATAAAGTTTTGCTTTTTCCGTCACCAGGTACTGATGCATGTTATCCTAATCCGTGTGCAAACAATGGAACATGTCTGGGTGAATTGAACAACTACACTTGCATTTGTGCCCCTGGCTTTCAAGGAGTGAACTGCACAATTAGTAAGTACTCTGCAGCGATCTACAAATAAATTTTAGGATGAAATAAATGAAACGCGCTTTAAGCCAGTGGCGGATCCAGGGGAGGGGTCCGGGGGGGCCCAGGCCCTCCCCTTAATTTTTAGACCAAACTGAGGCCCGAAGGGCCGAAAAAAAAATTTGTCGAGACCTGTTGTCTATTTGTTGAATGTTACACCATAAAGTCAGTTGCTTCGCCTGTGGGTTCCAAGGGGTCATCAAACCGTGAAACAATTTCAAAATTTTGTCCCTTCTTCTCTTTAATGTTTCGAAATATACTTACTTAAATTCATCGTTTGTTATCGTTTTGAAGTAACCATCTTTTCAAATCTTCGCTAAATTATGCTATATCAAAAGAACTTCAGAGAAGTCGCAACGGCGTTTTCATTTAATCGTTAACAACTTGATTAGAAGCTTATATTTCAACTCTACATGCGCAATCAAAATCGCTCAAAAGCAAACACGTCACCCTTCCATTATGCGAGAGGTGTGTGGCAAGACTGTATCTTAAGTCCACTGCTTTTAATCTTTATACACAGGTATTTCGAGAAAGGTTGTCGGAAAAAGTGCACGCGACAATCCCGAAAGGTATTGTGGGTGGTTTTGAATTCACTGTTCTTCAAACAAATTTGAAAGAATGGCACGAGAGGCCATGGACATATGTTTGCGACTGCTAAAGGAAAGCAACAATGGTAGATTCGACAGCTACAGTGTATTGATCATATCCCATATTTCCTTTCGGGATTGTCGCGTGCACATTTTTTTCGACAACCTTTCTCGAAGTAGCTGTATAAGCGACCTACATTCCGCATTAGCTCGCATTTGAAAATATATTGTCTGATCCTTTTGTTTTGCCAAACGGTGCAAAATTAAATTGACTTTTTTATGCAGATGATTTAATGATATTATCGCGATCCAAAACAGGATTACAAAATTGCCTTGATAAGCTGTCTTCCTACGTGCCAGGAAAAAGTAACCTCAAACTAAAGATATAACTTGGTACTAATATACAATCAAACTACCAGAGATAATAGGAAATGCCCTCTTTGTGGATGTAATCAAAGAGAAGACGAAGTTCACTTTCTCATTGTTCTAAATACTCATCAGTGGCACCCAACGTCAATTTTCGAAATAATCTGTTCGGAAGACGATTTGAGATCTAGAATTTTCGGAACATTTGTTGTAAAATTTCTTGCTTGCCCGCCTCTCCTAGGATTTTCGAACATCAAAAATATCGTATAATTGTCCATTTTTAACAGATTTTTACCCTAAAAAGGTCACTTAGGAATTTCGGGAGCCTTTTATCTGGTTGAAATTTTCCAAACGGGAAGTTTTGATCCTTATAATTTTCGGATCACTAATTAATAGATAACCTGTACCGTAAAATTCCTCAACTTCCTACTTTCCTGGCTGTTTCAAACTTGAAAATATCAGCTGCTCTCTTTCCTGACCATATTTCAAACGTTCTAGGATACGATAACGTCTGCGCGCAAGATATTAAAACATTTTCAGGCGATGTCTTGGAACGGTACCAAGAGTTTTCTTTCCAAAACGAATTAAAACTATAGTTAAAAAAATATTCTCTAGAAATTTCTAAAGTTCGGCAGAGGCTAAAAATATTTGGATAACCATTTCATCCATCTAAGATATTCTATCAGCGTGTTTTTAAATAGCGCTATATATAGATGTACGATTTTTGGAGGTTGTGTCACTTACATATTATTACAAAGTTATTACGATAACTTTTTTTTTAAAAAAAGGGTCTTCTGAAAATTTTAGAATAAAGAAAAAACGTTCCCTAGAATTTCCTAATGCCAGAAAGTACAGCTACTCCATGCATCAGGTGAGGGTAGCTAACTGATTGGCATGAGATGAAAAAGCCACCTAAAACTGAATTTTTCTTCCGAGCCGCCTGTGTCACCGACTGAATAAATACCTTTCTCAACTTTCAACACGATCAAAGAGACATCCGAACAGATAATAGTTTTCAGTGCAGCCACAAATTTGCCAAACAGGCTTCTAAAGCCTAGGGGAAACCATTTGAGACACCTCTCAACTGAGCTCATATTTGAGCTTATTTGGAAAAATTTGGTCGTCGAGATCCCCTGGTTCGACTCCCATTCCCCAGACTCTGGTGATTTAATTTGCTCCATTATATGTTCGCTGATATATAATTATTTGCACGGCGCTTAGAGATATATATAAATTATTGAATTTTAGTCAGGACTTTCCATGTCTTTTTCACTTCTAGCCAACAAAACATGTACAGATGGAGTGAATGTCTTCAATTGCACATGCTTGCCTTCCATTTCAATAGACTTGAGCGTCTTGAATCATAGTAAGTGTATTAAATATTCTGTCTTAGTATTCAGATTTTTAAATCAATCAGTGAATATAACCGTATTCCAAGCGTACTTGTCGCACCACTGGAAAAGTCGTTTCCTATACGTTAAAGGATATTAGGGACGTTAAGATCCGAGGACGGTGAAGACAATGAAAACATCGCTTATGAGGAGTGAATTCCCGTTCTTTCAATCTTCATTGCGATTGTTCCAAACCAAATACCTTGTCAAATGCAGGCGCATTCCCCTGGAGTTAAATCAAAAATTTCGACGACGCTTGTTTACGCACGCGTCCTCCAGAAAAAACGAAATTTGCCATTCACGTCCTAATCATGCAGTGGCTGCAAAGAAATGACGCAGAAGAAAAAAGACAAGTGTGTTGCACGGGAAGCAAGTGAGGCGCAAGCGCAGTGGCCGTTAGAGCACTCGCCTCCCAGCAGTGTGGCCTGGGTGCGAGTCCCGGTTTTGCTGAGGAATCCAGATTCCAAGTCAACTGACCAAGAATCCGGTATCCAGTTCCTGGCATCCAGAACCCATGGTCTGGAATCCCGACTCCAAGACTGTCTTGGATTCCGTTACATGAGGCGAGCTTTGCGTATGAAACCGGTGGTTTTTCGACGTTCTCGTTGCCTTTGCCGTCGTCGTTGCTACACCCTGGTAAAAGAGAGAGACCTTATTTTATGACCCTGATTCATGGCTTTTGCATACAGAATTATGTAAATTTTCAATACAAGATCATGGAACTAATTGTTTCGGAAAAACTGTTTGTTCCACTAAATGTATACCGTCCATCTGCAGCTTTCACGATTATGGGTCGCTTCTGGACCACTTGGAGACGCCAAGTTCTAAAATTGTATACCCTGTTTAAGAGTCAGGACCCTGAAAACTATACCCTGTGAAACGGCAGATATCCGTCCAGGCTAAATAAGGGAGTAGCCCCCCCCCCCCACACACACACCCTTCCCGGGCTAACTAATTGGAATAAGAAAAATTTAATTTGGCATTATGTCAGGAAATGACCAGTCTTGGAATGTATATGTTCATAGAAGTTTGGTGCCTGTATCAAAAATCCCACAATTCGCTAGCTAAGCCGCTGGAATGTTATAATTATTGTAAGTGTTTCCATGTCTGTTTCTTCTCAGACATCTATGACTGTTATCTAAACCCGTGTCTAAACAATGGAACTTGCATTGATGGACTGAACGACTACAATTGCTCGTGCGTGCCTGGCCTTGTAAGGGAGAACTGCTCTAATAGTAAGTTTAACAATATCGTATCACAGTGTTAAACATCAGGTTTACAAAATTCAAGTGCGCATATACCCGTTTTCCAAGTAATTACATATTTGCGCTCAACAGCATTTCGTTTCTGCCGGAAAAGTCGCTCTCTATAGCTCTTTTTATAATTTTTAAGAAGAACCTCTCTGTTCTTGTATGGGAAAGGTTAAGAGAAAACAGTAATTTGCCTGTTACCAATGTACGTCAAATCGATTCTTCCCTTCCAATTGGTCATACCGTTGTACTATATACTGTAATTCACTATAATTGCGACGTTCAGATATAAATTGTCTATTAACGCCAGACTTTCCATGACCATTTCTGTTTAGACACTCAGTCTGATGACTGTTCTCCAATCCCTTGTCTAAATAATGGAACTTGTATAGAAGAGGCAAATTTCTTCAATTGCACATGCGGGCCTGACTTTGTAAACAAGAGCAGCTCCAATGGTAAGTTTAAAATAAGAGATATAAGTCTTAGTATTCAGATTTTTAAATTAATCATGAAATATTACCATATTCCAAGTGTACTGCCGCACAACATGGATAGCGTTCTTTTCAAAAATTCGTTTCGCATAACTGTTAAGGATTGCATTTTACTGCATAGATAGCAGAAAGTGATTTTTGTTCATTCTACTCGCGGTTTATAGTCTATCGTTATCTATTCCACTCGTGCTTTTGCGATCTTTGTAAAAAGTCGCGCGTGCCACCATTAGTGCTTCCTCCCAAACCGCCCCCGCCCCCTAAGTAGTTTTGACACCTCATGCAAGATGGCAGCCCGTAACACAAAGCGCTCGATCTCGATGATCTTACGGGAAAATAGAGGACTGGGAACAGTCTACTATTCCACATGTGCTTTTGGGATCTTTGTAAGAAGTCGCGAGTGCCACCATATATACATTAGGTGTTTACTCGTGACCAAATTCTCTATTCATAATTCAATAAAATGACATAGTTTTGTTGACTAGTTGGTTCGTTATGTAGTTTTCACTGATTAGATCGCGATTTGATCAAGATGAGATTTTTTAAGAAATGTCTAAGGTTGTTTACTAAATTTAATCGCTTAACCAACGGCCAAAATTTAGCCCTTTTTCATGAGCTAAAAAAGCGGTCTGGTACATGGTTTTCACTACCAAGGCTTGCTTTAGCCTGGAAGAGCATTCTTTTTTCTTCAAATTGGCGAAATAAAATTTTTGGGTAAATGAAATCACGAGCGCTGACAAAGCGAAACAAATGCAAATGTTACACTAAAAACGGGGGGAAAACGTGACATCTGACCGAAGCATACACAAATGCGATTTACTGTAGGCGTCAAACGGTGGATAAACGGTGGATAAAATTATTAATAATTCAAAAGGGATGCGGCACAGCCTGGGCCCGCGGAGCAGTTTTCACAGTGCGAGGGCCGACCACCTCTTTTGAAGTGCAGTTGGTGGGGAGGTGTTGGGGACTTTAAAATGGTTTACAGTTACTTACAACT